TTGTGACCATGTCCAAACTTCTTTTTCTGTACAGCTTTAAATATATAAGTACCAATTTAGTACCAATTAATCATAACCTGAGAAGTAGCACTATAGAAAGTACATAAAAAAAAAAAAAACGGCAATTAGCAGCATACAATCTGTACTATTTTTTAGAAATGCAAGCCCACAACATAAAATGCTAACAAAAGTGTTACCCAAAGAAATGAGACACTATACCGGTAATGTCAAAATCAGGTGAGCTGGCACTTTGAGCTAATAGTATGTCACTGAATTGATTGTCAGGAAGCGTTGAAGACAAAAAAGACAATTGTGTTGTTTGAGAAGAAAAAGTCGTAGGAAGATGGGTAGAATATGTAGGAGAATTATTTGAAGATAATAGACTACCCCTACCACAACCAAGCAACAACAACAATGGTCCCAACATTCATAAGTCAGAGGTAGAGATCGCAATTAGAATTAGAAACAGCCCAGAAGGAAAAGCCCTGGGTGAAGGTGAAGATGGCATAAACACAGAAATGCCCATCCACCGTCGTTGATTTACGGGTGTGGTCAAGTTCCACATTACATAGACTCTACGCTCTAACAGAACAGTTTTCCGCCAAACACATGTGTGCTTTTGGTAAAACGAAGCTGGCGTTCAGCGGCATTTGTTTTCAACGCTTTCTTTCCTTTAAAAAATGTATCCATTTTTGCTTAAAGACAAATTCGTCTCGCCTGTACTCCTATACTAGTACGTGCACAATAGAATCTAAATAGAAGGCAGTGCTACTGACTGAATTGTTTTTAGGCCATTCCCGAAGGATGTTTTTTTTTCTTCTATGCATTTTTTTCTTCTTTTATGCACAGAAGAATTGTAAATTATTGGTTGATCAATGTCATGCTCACTCTGTGCCGGAATAACATATGGAGCAGGGGGGAACTGCTGCTTTTTCTTTCCTCATCCTTACTAACGTCGTTTTTCCTCTACTTCTTTTGTATGTTTGTCGTTCTCTTGTGAACTGCTATTTCCGGTGTGCCTTGTAGTAGAAGCAGACTTTGCACTGTTGAGGCTAGAGAGGTGAGCAGTGTAAGCCTGATTCCCCGTTCTCTCTGTTGACATCTGCCCCTTGGCGCTCATATGTACATGTATGCAATTGTGAGCTCCGTAAATCTTATTAATACAGGGTTCCCACCATGGACAAGATCGGCCGATGTTTGTTTTCAGTTTCAGGCGATCGAGTCGGGCGATCGGCCCGATCCAGCCGTAGTGGGTACCCCGTTATAAAACAATCAAGAATCTAGATCTAGATCAATTTTGTTTCCCCCAAAAAAGAGCGCTCTAGGTTCCGGTGAGAGGGAGGTCATTCTAACGTTGTCAGCTCACAATTCTACGTCTGAAAGTTTGATAATGCCGCAAAATTTTTCAAAATTCCTCGGCCGAGCCACGGCTTTTCCATTTTTCCGCTGCAGTGCCCGCTGAAAACTACGATCTTGCCAGACCAGAGAAAAAGTCCTGTTAAATCAGAAATGCAAAGGAAGTAAGCATTTGTAGACTAATCCAGCTGTATTTATTCATGGGTTGTTTCCCATGGCCTGCGCATGACACATAACTCATGGGTGTAGTTAGGCTTAGGGCTAGATCGAAGTCTGCAGCACGTCGCAGCCCTCTCTCGCTTTACCTGCTGTGTGTGCTTGCAGTGGTGTGGCTTGCATGGGCTTGCTCCCTCACTGCGTCTCTCTCTCTCTCTCTCTCTCTCTCTCTCACACACACCATATTTAACGAGCCTTTGTCCCTGCTATAACCGATTGAGCTCCGATGAGGCCTTTTTATTGCCGATAACTTTTAATAGAGACAAAGAGTAGGAAAAAACGTGGATTTAAAAAATCCCAGTTTCAGTTTTTACCGGGCCTGTTATATATATATGGTTTCCACTGTATTACATATGTAGTTACGTTCTCAGTGCATTCATTCAATTTCAGTTGAACTGTACCTAATGATGTATCTCTCTCTCTCTCTCTCTCTCTCTCTCTCTCTCTCTCTCTCTCTCTCTCTCATTCACTCCTTCTCTCACTCTCTCTCACCCTATCCTATACAATCTTTTCATTTTTATGTGTTTTGGGGAAACAAGAGATATTATATGATCAAATGCATTATATTATATGAAGCCAATTTTCATTATTTTAGCTAGAATTTCTTTTGACAAGTATGAGTACTTATTATTTGTTTTCCATTGTTACTGTATGGAGTCTCGAAGTTCTATACACAGTGTTGATCAGATCATCTGTAGATCTGGTTGCTAAAATATTGTAACTTTACGGTAACACTGCTGAACTCTTCAGTGGGTACCGCTGTCGTCAGATATTCTTGTTCTTAATTATAACCCCTGGGACTATCTTCTAAGAATAGAACATCCACCAGTTACATTGTGTTCAGAAAATGTTGTAATTTCTTCACGACTTTGTGTTCATGTTCAGGTGCTTGTATATGACCATTTGTTTGAAGTGCTGTAAAATTGTTACGCAACTGGCATCTGTGGTGTAGCTGTTATTGTAACGTCATCACGTGTAGGAGACCCATGTTTAATTCTTGAGTGGGGAGAATTTTTGTAAATGTAATCTTTAGCACTTATATGGCCTTATTTTGTTAAAAGTGCCGTGTGACTTCTTTCTTAAAACGAAGAGTATCAAAACATGTGAATGATGTGACATTACTACGGGTACGTAACTGTTACAATAAATGTTTTGTAGAGGTACTGAAGTTGGAACAAGCATATTTTATTACTCAGGAGCTTCTGTTTGAAGTATTGAATACATGTTGGTTATATAATATATTAATAACGTGTGCTTATGTGATGTCAGCAAATGGCAAATTCTCTCGGCACCCACCTGTTCAAATACTGAAGAAAAATGATATGTGCAGATGTCCTCGAAAAGATGTTTAAAATAATGTTTGGAGGTACATAATGTAGTCACAAAACTTTAAATTTTTCTTAAGTGTTCGAAAAATCAAACTTGACAACTATCAAGGTTATGAAAAGTGATGATGTTTGCCCCTTTTGGGCCCTCTGTTACTGTTACCTCAGTTAATATCATGCTATACTACAGAATGGATGGCCCTGGTTTGAATCCCAGACTGGGAGTTTTCGAGATCGGGTAGTTTTGTAAAGTTTTCATGGCTCTCAACCAATTCAACTCAGTCCTATCAGAGACGGATGTTAAATTCGGAGGTCCTGCCTCTTAAATAACCTACTATTAGTCTATGTTGAAAGGGACGTTAAACCCATACACTTTTGATTAAAATTAAAAGGTATGTTTTTGTGCTTCAGTGTGAAGTCTGTTACTTTTGTCCTGTCATGTAGTATGGAGTAACACTGTATGAAGCCTACTTGCATTGTCTTTTTCTACTTTTTATTGATGTTTATTCTCTCCCAATATTTAATGGTTAGAGACTTTAGTTTCCAAATGCACTGGTTTGTTTTCTTGCATTCATTAGCTTTTTGTTCTTTGTCCGAAATGTACCTCATGTACTGGCAGCATTTACAGGACCACGTTTTTGACCCACCATAGTATGTTGCTGACAAAATAAAGTTTAATTTTGATACTACATGAATGCGTGTGTGTGTTTTTATTTGACCTCCATGTATGTATACTTGTAGCGCATCAAATGTTGATTCAAAAATTGGGCCTAGAAATTTTTTTGAAGCATAGATCTTACTCTAGTTGATCTAGTGGTTTGCTCATTTCTCCTATCAAACATCTATTGTACTTATCTCTCAACCTTCTTTTACCATGTATAATGTTTGTTGCCGTCTTAAAATCTTGCAACACCTCAAATCTTCGGCACTCAATCTTATATAATTTAATTGTGTTGGAAATACCGTAAAACTTTTACTTTAACGAAACAAGTGTTTACACTTAGTATCAGAACAAGAAATTTGCAGCCCTGATCAGAGAAATGCTTTGCACAATGACTCAGTGTCATTGTGCTGTGCTTCGTCCATGGGTGTTTGGCAGGTGCTTTAGTTTTAGTATGGTTTGTTCCTTCTTTCCTATGAAACATCTATCGTCCTTATAAAATCTCTCCTCCTTTTCTTTGTATACTTCTCTCAAGTGTCTAGTATGGTAACACCTGTAATAAAATGATGTTGATGTAGCTAGCTGTGGGGATAAGGGAAGTGATGATGAGATGATGGAAGCAAAGATGATGTTGATGGTGTGGATCGTGGATTTCCTCTGATGATGCAAGCGCTCAGGTTTGAAGAGGGTTCCGAGTTTGTCACTCCCTAGTAATACCTCTAAACTCCGGCACTTATATGACTTTATTGTGTTGAAGTGCCATAAAACTTACTAAAACAGTAGGACTAGTGCTAGTAGGAGAATGTCTGAAGGGTCCATCTTTCGTCTGTTTTACTCATAGTCATAGACTTACAGTTTAAGAGAAATATCTGCTGACTGCTGTCTGATGTACTTTTGGTGCTTTATGTAGTAGGCTACCCCATTTGAGTCAAATGAAGGATAAAGTGGAAAGGTGCTGTGCACTTTCGGCTTTTACTAGACTGGTGTTTTGTCTTTCATTTAGGTGTAATAATAGCATGGTCCGTGGTGAGCATGCTTGGCTTCGAAGTTTTCCTGGAGAGCAAAGAGTGGCAGCCATGACAGTGAAAAGTGTAGGGTTACAAATCTTGTGGTGTTTATACAGTTCTGTTTTCTTTTTTTTGTTTTTTGCTTTGTTAGTGGCGTCTGTGGTACCATGCAATGGTCAGGTGCTTTGCTGTCGCAGGCTGGAGACTCAATTTGTGATTCCCGATTGGGGACAAAATTTGTATTGAGTATCTCGGTCTTTCTGCTGAGGTGTTGTATCCCTCTCAGCGCGAGTTGGCCCTGACAGTCAGAGTCAGAAGATTCAGTCTGTGTTGCTTTTTCCCTACCCAAAATGACCACGGCACAATCATCGTGTCTATGTGCTGCCCTTTTCCCACAATTACAGCCAACAAACTAAATTCTCTTTCACTCAACAGAATCCATCACGCCATGAGAAAACCAGTGTTCCTAGTGGATAAACCTTAGTCCTGCACCAACTTGACCACCTCTGCACCCCCCTCACATATTAGATCCCCACCAGCCACCAGCGTTGATGGTGAGAACGAGCGAGTGACATCACCAACATGCCTTTGGACACGTTTATCTGTGGCCAGTGCCAGGATTCCTTCACCGACCTCAATGAGTTCGTGCTGCACAAACAGGGCAACTGTCCTGCCACAGCCCCGGCCACCCCCGCCCCTCCCTCCTCCTCCTCCCCGGCCCTCCCACAGGGCACCGAGGTCATCCGGCTACACATGAACGAGTCAGGGGAGATCACTGGCATGTCCTCTTTGCCAGTTGGAGAAGGTATGTTGTAGTATACTCTTCATTACATTACACTGTGGCATCAAAAAGAAACTTTAAAATTAAAATGTATTCTCCCAATCTTTATATTAAATACTTGCACTACTCTCTCATGCAGCATACCAATTTAAAGCTAAATAAATTCTACATTGCCTGACACATTAATATTTCAACTTTAACTACGATAAGAGTTGCCCGAGATAATCAAAATTAACCTTAAAAAATCAGAGTGCAAAATAGTGCGAAATCAAAGAGACGATTAAAGTGTGTCCGCGGGTGTATTAAGGTACACCAGTATTGATAGAATGGACGTACATTGCTTATCATATAAATGGAGAATTTTGTCTCTGCAGTAAACAATATTATATTACGATAGTTTGAAACAAATTGGAAAACAGATCATCACAAATACCAGTTAAAAAGTGTGAACCACCGTGTTGCGACAGTTATCAGGTTTGGATGGAAGGTTAGATTTCTTTTCCTGAGCTTGACCAAGGCTTCCTCATGCCTTTCCTTGCTGTACAGATGAGTCGATGACCAATGGATCAACCTTCACCTTCCTCAATGACGTGAACATGGAGGGAGATTTTGGAAACACGAATCTAGATGGGAATGGTGCAGGAACTGACAACTCCGCACAGACGCTGATCATCTTGAACAACTCGGAGACTGACGGACTCGGCGGGCTGGACAGTTCTGGAATGAACCTGTTAACCCCTAGCCAGAGCATGGACGGCCTGACTTCGCAGCCAGAAGGTCCTCTTGGAGGTCAAGAGGTCAAGGGTGACACACCGGAGGTCATGCCGACCTTGACAGAGCCATTAGCGCCGCCAGAGATGGGGGAGGAGAAAGTTGGAGGATTTCCTCCCAAAAGTAAGCTTTGTTCTGTGGTCATGAGATTGGACAATGTGGGGAGTATATTGCTGGAATCCCGTGTGATTTAAGTTCTGATGTTTCTTGTGGTGTGAAATGTTTCCCTCTCAGCCCAAGTTAGCTTTGACAGGCAAGGTGGAGGCAATCTGCCTTCTAAATGAGCTACATTGTGTTGATGGAGACCTAAAACACCAATGATTGCTCTTTTGTTCTGTTTTTAGTCTGGCATTCATGTCTGTTTTATTCGTTTGTTTTTGTTTTTTCCTTTTTATCTGTTTTTGTCTGGCATTTTTGTCTGTCTCATACTTAATGCTTTAGTTTTTATTCTTTCTTGTGTTGTCTACACTTAGTTTGGCTTTCCTGTCTGTCTTGCTTCATACTTTGTATTTGCGGTATATTCTGCATTTACTATATATATATATATATATATATATATATATATATATATATATATATATATATATATATATATATATATATGTATATATATATATATATATATAGATAGATAGATAGATAGATAGATATATATATAGATATAGATATAGATATAGATAGATAGATAGATAGATAGATAGAGATATGTGTGTGTGGATGTATGAAGTATTTTCAGAGCATCAAAACAAAACCAGCAACAAAATATTTAGTTTGGGGTTGTTTTCTTTTGTGTGTCTGGACCGTGACTGTTTTTAGAGCTATTTCATTTGTCGAGTGTCTCTTCCCTGACTATTTCCCTGTTTGTTTGTTTTTTCTGAAATGAGAAATTCATTGAAATGCCCCATTTTTTTCTTTGGCAGGTGTTTTTGATAATTTTCTAGCTGTTTTTTTTTTTTTAGTGTGTTTCTGAAATGAGAATCATTTGAAATGATTGTTTTTGTTTGTTTTGATTTTCTGAGATTAGAAACCCATTGAAATAATAATAATAATAATAATAATAATAATAATGAAGATCATTTCTATAGCGCCCACTCCCGTGTAAACACAGCTCTAGGCGCTTTACTTAAATGCGTGTACGAACAATATTCACGCAAGCGACACACACATGCACACACACACACTCATACACACACACACAAACACACACACATACACACACACAGACACACACACTCTCGCACACATAACACGCACACATGTGCACACACACACACATCTACTTGCTTATCACACGCGCACGCTTACACATTGTCACGAAATTAGCATAAATATACACAATGCAATTCACATAATACATAAATGGATACATAGTCATTTACATAACATTGTACTGGACATGAATCTACAGACATAAAAATGATGTCATTAAATGTGCCTTTAAAGATTAAAAAAATTTAGACTCAGATGTTGTATGTCTCAAGGGTTGGGGAAGAGAGTTCCATACTGATGGAAATGACTTACTTTTTATCTTATATCATGAAACACATTGTCTTTTCAACAGAGCGAAGGGGGCGCTCAAAGACGGGAGAAGGCAAAGTGAAGGTCATTGAAGCTGTTCCCCCATCTACGCCAAAACCAACGGTGCCTGAAACCAGTAAGACTATGACTTCTCTCACAGAGGGTAGCTCATTGGCTCTATCTGTTGTTTTCTCTGGCTACCTGCCTGGTTTTTTTCTTCTCTGTGTGTCTGTCTTTTTGTCTGTTTGCTTTTCCTGTCGGTCTGTTTTCCCTGTCTGTCTGTCAGTTTTCCTGCCTGTCTGTTTTCCCCATTTGTCTGTTTTCCCAGTCGTCTGTCTGTTCCCCCACATTTTTATTTTTTGAACATCCTAATCAAACTAGCTCTCACTGGCAAAATTAAAGGCAAATGAGGAAGGGGTAGGCCCAGAGTAACCTATTAAGGGAACCTAAGCAAATTGGTAACGGGGAAAGATCAGGGTAATATAACTTTTTAAAGAGCATCCGAGCAAAGAAATGAATGGAAAACCATGACCACTGATGTCTGCCGCAGATCTGGCACTGGATGATGAATCAAACATTTACACCACATATTCCCACACAAGGGAGCGGGGTTCTTGTGGAGTAAGGAGTGCAGGGGCTGATCAGGGTCCAAGACTGTAGTAAAGAGAGGCTAGTCACTTAAAAGAAGCAGTCTTTGCCATTTTTACAAGCTTTGATATAAAATTAGATGTTGTCACATTGCAGTTGTTTTTTTCCCCAAGTACAACAGTGATCAATCAAACTTTTAGGACAAATTTTGCTTGCTTTTGATTACAAGACTTAGAAGCTTTTATTTCTAATTTGGTAACTGGCCCGGCAAAAGACGGTTTGTTTTGTCTCTGAAACTCTGATGGCCACCATCTGTGGTGTAGCATTTAGGGGCTATAGGTTTCATTTGATTTCCAGGTGAGGACAATTTTTATAGGGTGCCTCGGCCTTTTCTGTTGGGTTGTTGTAGTATCCCTCCCAGTTCGTGTTGGCCCTGACGGGCAGAATCGGAAGCCTGCCTCCTAAATGATCTAAACTGTGTTGATGGGGGTGCAGAAACATTTCTATTTAAAAATCAAAAGCACATTTTTATGCATGTTTCTTCTCCTCGTCAGACGCGGACGGCAAACTGGTGTGTCCCCAGTGTAAGAGAACGTTTGCCAAGGAGCGACATTTCAACACCCACAAGTGCCTGGCCACCTCTTCCTACGTCGACATCACCAAGAAGGAGATTGTGAAAATTGATTCGGGTAACTCTCGCATCTATCTGCTTTTTTTTCTTGTTTTGCGAAAAACTCTTCAAGTGTCGACGGCAAATTGAATCGGATATGAGTTTCGTTCTGTATTGTCATGGCCAATTTAATCAGGTGTAATTTGAGTGGCTATTTCAGTGTTTTTTGCAAGGTGTATATTGTTACATTTTGTTTCTAGGGAAATGTATATGGAGTAAAATTTTGTTGCCATTAAGATGTAAAGTGTGTTGTTTGTCTATGAGTGTGTCAGTGTTGTTTGTCTGTGAGTTTGTCACTGTGTTGTGTGTCTGTCAGTGTGTCAGTGTGTTGTTTGTCTATGAGTTTGTCTGTGTGTTGTTTGTCAATGAGCGTGTGTGTCACTGTGTTGTTTGTCTATGAATGTTTCCCATTCTTGTTTATCTATGAGTGTATTACCATGTTGTTTGTCTATGAGTGTGTCACTGTGTTGCGTGTGTATGTACAGGTGATGAAGAAGAGGGTCACGAAGACTTGGACGCTGGGGCACATGTTGATGAGGAGGAAGAGTTCACTGCCCCTGTTGATGAAAAGATGAGTGCTGAGAAAGAAGAGGAAGACGATGAGAAGGAAATGGACAAAGAGGATGTGGAGGAGGAGAGCGCAGACAAAAGGAAGAAGAAAAGAGGCAGGAAGAGGAAGCGAGGCGGAGAGGATGTGGAGGTGGGTACAACATTGTATTGCAGGGTCAAGTGTTGATTTTTTATAATAGATTCTCGTCTTTCACCTCCTTGCTGTTTGGAGGTTGGCGGAGGTTGGG